CGAGTCAAATACTTTCGTCATCCATTGGCGTCACGTAATCACAACTTAGAGTTTGTGAACTAGCTTACCGGCCGCGAGCGCATCATCAGTGTGGCATTTAGCCATGTTGTTACATGACAGGCATCTCATGATTAGCATGTTATCACCAGTCACATACATTCATCATCCATTAACGTACTGTAGTTTTAAATTTGGTATAATTGAACGTAGCGAAATGGCCGCAAGCGCATCATGAGCGTGACATGTAGTCATGTTGTTACATGACACGCATGTCATGATTTTCATGTTAGGGTCTGTTGCTTTTGTTCACCATGCAATTATGCCAGACCACACCAGTTTTGCAACATTCCATGTGAACGAACCTCCGCAAAAGCTGCAGGACCACAAAATGTATATTATGAAGTTTAATGACATACGTTTCATTAAATTCATGTTATGCCTAGTCCAGCATGTTTTTCATACAGTTTTGTTATGCCATACCAAGTTTGGTATTGATAGCATTATCGAAACGGCCAGGAGAGCTGAAAGTCATAAGCGCGTAGATCTATAGATAGATATGGTCAAAGTCGCCGAAGTTCGCTAAGAGATGCTTCGTGTTTAAAAAACCAAAAAAGAAATAGAGCATTGCTGATTGGTTCCAGCCACTATGCCACGGCAGTAGCGCGGCTGAAAATTCAGTCAGGAAGCGACTAGCCAAACCGGTCGCTTTGCGACCGTTAGCGATCATTCGCGACTTTTTGCGACCAGTTGCAAGTGGTCACGTGACCACTGCTAGTCGCCAGTCTTAACAAGGGAGGGTATCCACCAGCTTTTCTCTTACGTAACTCAAGCAGCATCACGTTCTCGCTGGCCAACTTTCAGCCCGAAGCCACTGACCTGGAATCCAGACTGCAAACTCGGTGCTCTCTACAGAGAAATTGAAATGGGAATGGGGTTATCATTTGATTTCATTGCCAACAGAAGTGCGCTACTCTAAATGTGAACAAAGTGTGGAGACCATTAGCGTAGCAAAAACATATTTTTCGTGTGAGAGTGGTGTGTGAGGGGGAAGATGATTTCGGTCGTCCTTCATAAACACTCGTACATGTGTTAGTATGCGTGTTCGTATGTCCTGTTTTGTGTTCCTAGTGTTACGCTGTAAACACGTTCACGATGAATGCAAATGCACAACCGAAGAATACCTGGACTGCGTGGGGGTGCGAGGAGGGTGTTAAAAAGCTCTTCCTTCCGTCCTGGCTACGCCGCTGGTGATGACTCAGAGTTGAGTTATTCAGCCGTTAAAAATAACACAGCACACAATAATACGTTACGCACAACATAAACGACCCTGTCGGCTCGGCTACAAGTTCCTAAGCCCCGCCGTGGTGGTCTAGTGGCTGAGGTACTCGGCTGCTGACCCGCAGGTCGCGGGTTTGAATCCCGGCTGCGGCGGCTGCATTTCCGATGGAGGCGGAAATGTTGTAGGCCCGTGTGCTCAGATTTAGGCGCACGTCAAAGAACCCCACGTGGTCGAAATTTCCGGAGCCCTCCACTAAGGCGTCTCTCATAATCATATGGGGGTTTTGGGACGTTAAACCCCACAAGTCATCATTACAAGTTCCTAACATATAGCTATTTCCTACTTTTGAAGTCAAATGACAGGCTTTGTTTGTCAGAGAGCAGGGTTCTCTGCTGAAAGCCAGAAAAAAAATGAAGCATTTGTATTACGATAGCGTTTGTGCTAATAGCCTGCTATAAGACATTTGTACTGAATGTGAAAAAATACTTAAATTAGGTGTATGAAAACTTTTGGTGTTTTCAGAACTCACAAGGAAAGTATAATTTGAGCTTTAAAAGTCTAAAACTGCATGGCTAATCTGGAACTCACCACACTGACCCCATTCCTTGTAGCCCACTTCTGTTTACAATGAAAGGCAGATGATAACGCCATTCCCATTTCGAGTGCTTTGTAGAAACATAGAGTTTGCTGTCTTTATTTTAAGTCAGTGGCCTTGGGCTAAGCATAGCCCTTGCGAGTGCGTCAGGCCGCTAGCGTTACATAGGCGAAAAGCTGGCAGAAATACATAACATCGAAAAACTTTCTGAAATACCCTTCATGAAATTCACCTACCTTAACTATTTACAGAGCTTTGAAATGAGATATTGTGCACATTGTTATTCTGACCTACAAAACGAGTTTTTTAAATGTGGAGCGTTTTTTATCGAACTGTGGTGACTTATAGTCTATCTATCTATCTATCTATCTATCTATCTATCTATCTAACTATCTTATCTAGCCGCCTAGGACTTTTAGTTCTCCTGGCTGCTTGGATATTGATATCGATACCAAACTCGGTATGGCATGACATGACCATATGAGGAACATAGTTGACTAGTCATAACACAAAAATCATGACATGGATGTCATGAATATCATGATTAAGTTTTCATAGACCTGCAGCTCTTGCAGTGATTCGTTCACATGGCATGTTGCAAAACTGGTATGGTGTGGAATGATTGCATGACAAACATATGCGACAGCCTCTAACACGAAAATCATTACATGTGTGTCATGTAACTACATGAATACATGCCATGCTCATGATGCGCTCACGGCCGTTTCGCTAGCGTCACATATACAAAATTTGGTATTAGAGTACGTGAATGAATGACGTAGGTGAGTGAAGTGCTGCAATCACGATAATGATGTGATGCGTGTCAAGTAACAACATGACTATATGCCACGCTCATGATGCGCTGACGGCCGTTTCGCTAGCTTCACTTATAACAAATTTGATATTACGGGAAGTGAATGGATGACGAAGGTATGATACTGGTGCAAACATGATAATAATGAGATGCGTGTCATGTACCGTCATGACTACAGTGCTACTATCATGATGCGCTCGTGGCTAATTCGCTGGCTTTACATGTACCAAACTCGCTATACGTGAAGCGAACGGCCGACAGAGGTAAATGGCACATCCAAACATGATATTCATTACATGCGTGTCATATAACAATAAGTCTGCATTCAGCACTAATGATGGGCTTGCGGTCGTTTCGCTAGCTTCATATATGCCACAATGGGCATTACGTGACGCCAATGGATGACGAAGGTATGTGACTGGTGGAACCGTGATAATCATGAAATGCATGTAATGTGAGAACATGAATATATGCTACAGTCAAGGCACCTATACGTTTCGACGTGACGCCGGTGCGCATCGGTCGCTGGCGTACATTTTGTCGCGTCACGCCGGCGTTGCCACGCCAGGCGCCGCTCTTGCCATAGACTCGCAGGCGCATGCCACGCTGCGTTGCTTTGACGCACGCACGTTTCAACGCGTCCGGCGTCCCTCCGTCACGAAAAAAGTGAGATGCAGCGTTGTGTAGGTAACGCATCGGCGCGAAATGCAGCATGTCTCAGTATTGGGCTGGTTGCTGTCAGCGCAGCGCCGACGAACGTCCAGTTGTGCCTGGCGTCAGTCTATAGAGTGCTCGTGTTTTGCTAACGTAGCGTCGTTGTTCCAACCGTACGCATCGACGCTACATTGGAGTATTTTTGGCCCTTCATGCTGCGCTCTTGGCCGGTTTTCTAGCTCCCCATATACTAAATTTGGTGTTACGTGCCGTGAATAGATGACGAAGGTAAACGATACATCCAAACATAATAATCATCACCGAGAAGTCATGTACGGCATTATATGCTTTCACCTCGTAACGTTGTGTTGATTTTAAAGTGACATATCAAGATTTCTCATAGGTGCTTCCCATAGTATTGATTGCCACTGTACGTGGGATCTGTTGATTTTTTTTGGCGCTGGTACAAATTTTTTCTACAAAAAAGTGATATTCGCGATATTTTTCAGACTGTGCGCCAAAAATTCAGCGCCTAAACTATTTTATAGAGGCTACCAGCGAATATTTTGATTGTGTGTTTTGTTGTTGCCATGTTCTCGGCATAACTTTCGAACTTGGCAGTTTTATTCAGTATTGCTCGTGCAAAAGCCCCCAAATAGTTGATATACATCAGTAAGTCATTATATTACAGTTAGATCACTTCGTTATGTTGCCGGAAATGCTGTTTTATTCCAAAATTATCTTCTGCTTTCCAAAATAATTTTCTTAGAAAAATGGCTGTTGATGCCCTCTAAGCCAGTCGGCAGTAATCTTCACACTCTCATCAACTGGGAGGAACTTTTTTCGTGACAGCTGGGAAAACGCTCCGTAATTTATCGTAGAATGATCCTGCTGCGAAAACAGTAGGAATGAATATGTTTTCCCACTGTCTCCATTTGCCCTACACAGCATTTAATTTTGCCTCGCAGGTGGGAGTAAGATGAAACAACTGGAGCACTTTTTTATTTATTATTAAATTTTTTGGAAATGCGACAACATGGCACTATTCATTTAGCACCTACATACTTTGTACCCAATGTAAAGTTTCAGCCATGATTATTATTTTAAGGTGTGAAAAAAGATACAATATTTGGAAATTTCGTCGCTTTTTGCCCCACCCAACCCTAAACAAACATATGAACCCTGTGGAGTTGACGGTAGGATGAGCGACACAGTGGTAGATCATCGGACGCGTTAATCGGTACGTAGGTTGGGATTGTGCCGGTGGCAAGTTATATTTTGGTCCACTTTGCTTTCTCCCCACTTACTTTGCAATTTTTCTAATACTGTTTCCTATAATTTATTTGGCTTTGTTGTCTGTTGGTTCTCATTATTATCCTGTCTTAGAAATAAAACAAGCCCTTAAAGGGATTGTTTATTGTTTTAATATATATATATATATATATATATATATATATATATATATATATATATATATATATATATATATTACAGTTTTGCCTCTGTCAAAAAGGAACACTTAAAGCCCTGTGCAAGATGTCCTTTACGGACACGCTCATGCTTTCTTTGCGTACGTGGACGTTCTTCAGGCTTAAACTGGTATTCTCGAGTGCTTTCTGTGCCTTACAACCCATTTCCTCCATTTATTCCAGTGGGTACACGCCTGGCTGGCAACGTGCTGCTATCATTCGCAATGAACCGACTCTCGAGGGTGCTGCACCATGAAATGCTGGAGCACGTGCTCTTCAGCCCCGTCTCGTTCTTCGACGCCACTCCACGAGGAAGGATCTTGAACCGCTTCACCGCTGATCTTAACGACGTGGACATACGCATGGCAGTGCTGGGCCGCCAGACGATACAGAACAGCCTCGTCGCTCTCTCACGACTCGCAGTCATCGGCACCGAGAGCATAGCGGTCATTGTCATTGGCCTCGTCGTGCTCGTAATTTTTGCCGTTGGTTTGGTGAGTTTTGTGTTGTGCTGTGTGAAACCGTTGCGGGAGCTCTGTTGGTATATCGGAAACAGCCCTCTACCAGGCGCCACAACAAAGAGCCGCATTCTGAGTCAAAACTGCTTGAGTATTTATAACATGTGATACTCTGCACCACTTTGTGCCATATTTTAAATATTCCCGAATGGTAATCGTGTTGAATTACTGCTTGCAAGTTACCACTATACCACTACGACGGGAAGCCATAGAACCACATCTCGGGATTAGTTAAAAATATATGCTTCTGTGTGAGCCACCCAAATGTATAGCCGCCCCCCCCCTCCCTTTAAGACGATAAAATATAAAAACAGCTAGAACTTTCCGAAATAGGCGCCTCCGAGATTTCACGAAGCAGCAGGCTTACCGCTGCGTACGTTGTTCGGTGCGTTGTTTCGGGAGTGTGTGGATACTCCAAAGTGTTGTGGAAGAGGAAGAACTGTTTTGTGAGCGTCGCTGATAAAGTGAGCTCGTCCAACAGGGATTAGGTATTGAGCAGTGAAATAAAACGTTGACATTAGTCACCAGCTTTATTTTTAGTTATTCAGTGACCACAGTCGCAGCGAAGTCACAGTGTGTTAAAGCGTAGCTATAGGACACATTTGTGTATAACTTTCGCCCCAACAAAGCTTGGGGGAGGAAAGTGTGGCCTATGCACTAAAATACCCAGCACACATCCTTCTGAATGCCAGTTTTGCCATGAAAGTCCTGCAAAATCCAACAATTAGTTCATGACGAGGAGAGTTTAGAAACGGAGTGCTAAGTTGCCATTTTATCGGACACCAAGTTTTCACACAAAGACTTGTGCTCTCCCTTCAGAGCTGGCAGTTGTTGCTGTTTGACATCATCAGCAAATTGTATGCTATTATTTGAGAGCTGACGTGATCCAAGAACGCCGTTTCCATTAGGGAAGAAAGACGAGTAATCACAAGCACCAAAACACAACTCTGGGCGGTCGCCTGAAGACTGCGTGTGCTCATGTGCAAGTTGCGAATAAAACCCAGCAGTATGTTTATCTTTTTCTATTTATTTATTAATTCAATATTGTGAGCATTCTGAGGTCTATACGGAGAGATCACACAAAGAAAATAGGACTTCATTCCTGAAACGTAAAAGAAAACGAAATTATGTGACACAATATAACCAGAACAAAGATATATCAGTATAAAGAGATAAAGAAGTAATGCATTTGTGTTTCACTAAAAACACAAAGTTACCATGACAACATTAAATGGTAACATAACTGACACACAAATGCAGGCTGTTAAGCACGTGTAGCAATGTGCGAGTACATGCACGATACATCATTCCTGCTTTCAGTGGCCCATATATACCGCAAAACTTATAGCAATGCATTTAATTAAATTTTCAGAAGCAATGGGATTGACTCAAGTTATTGAGCACTGACAACGTCATTTGGAAATTTGTTCTACATCTCTATACCTACAGAGAAAAAGAATATTTATTTGTGTTGCAACGTGACAGCAATAAGCGTATGCATTTCTTGTTGTTACCTTTGCTGGAGTGACGGTTCAGAGCTTCAAATTAATCGTCCTTATTCAGGTATACTAGGTTGCTTGAAAAAAGAAAAAGAAATTGAAGACTAGATAATTGTTTTCGGCTAGCAAGTGTTGCGACTTCTTCTTGCAAACGTAGCGCAGAAACGCTCTTCTTCCTGGCTTACTTGGAAAAATAGTTCTAAGAGCCCTGTTTTGAATTTTTTCCATGCGCATCAATCATGTTATTTTGGTGTGGGTTCAAAACTATTACTGCATATTCTAGGACAGGTCTAATGAACATTTTGCACACTGTTCAAGTTGAGAAGAAGTGTCAGTGAGCTCACGCCTCAGAAATTCTGGTTGCTTAACTGATCGTGCAGAAATTGGTATAATGTGGACAACCCACTTGGCGTTGCTATTGTGACTCCCATCATCTCTACAGTATTCACATGCTTCATGTCTGCCCCAGAGACGGTGTACTTAAAGTTAAGTGGTGTCTTTCTATGGCACATAGTAATGCAAAGTTTTTATCTGTATTGATCTGTATACCAAGTTTTTCAAACGAATTCCCAATATTCTCTACTGATATGTCAAGTTTTACTAAGTATTCTGTTGTGCTAGTGGGAGAGTATATGACGCAGTCATCTGCAAAGGGCCTTATTGTGTTGCCCTGTTTCATAGCAGTGTACAAATCATTGATGTAAATGAGGAAACATCTTGGTCTTAGTACGGATACCTAAGAAACACTAAAGAACACATCGATGCGGTTGGATTTGACATTGTTAAAAGAAACACACTGGGTGCAATTAGAACTATAAGCAGCAATCCAATGATTGGACTATGTTTGAGTTAAGACCAAATAATTCAAGTTTTCGTATGAGTAACGAGTGCAGATAGTGGTCGAGTTTCTTAGGAAAATCAATAAATATCGCATTTATTTGGTGTCTAGAAATAATGGCTGAAGCCATGAGTAACTTTTAAAAGTTGTGTAGTGGTTGAATGCTTCACATTGAAACCGCGTTGATTCGGGTAAAGGAGATGAGTTTCCTCTAAATAGTTGTAAGTGCTATATTTATAATATGCTATAGTAGCTTGCAACACGAGCTTGTCAGTGATAAATAGCTGTAGGTGTTTATCAAATGTTTGTTCCCAGTTTTACGAATAGCAATTACTTTCGCACACAAGCAATAATCCGCAGGCACCGCTCTCTTTAAGCGATAGGAAAAATATGTGGTGTAGGAAAGGGGTAAGCTCAGTAGCATAACGCTTAAAGAGATGTAACTTAGAAGTGGGGCAGGTTGGGCTGGTGGGTATGGCATGAAGATAGTTACGGCGTGAGAACAAAACTTCTTGTCTCTGTGTCGTCGTTTTGTTCTCGCGCTATAACTATCGCCATTCCTAAAGAGAGCCTTAGAAATTTATTCAGAGCCTTGCAAACTTTTCACATCGAGTAGAAGATGCAGCTTAAGTATGCGATACTCTGTTATTGTTACCTGGCATGTGACCTTCACTGTTAGACAAAGGTAAAAACTAAGGCTGCCTACGCGTGCAAACTGGCTGGAAGTAAAAGTTGAAAGCATCTGCAAAAATTCATGCGTCTTCAACAATACTACCCAATATTTCCTATTTTAGTTACTGATCTCTCTGGCTTGAATAAGTATTTCCAAAATTTCGCTGTTGGTTTGTCATACACTCTGTCGGAGTGCTTGGAAAAAAGCTCTCTTGCCATCTTTATTTCGGTTTTGAAGAGTCGTGAAAGCTGATTGAGCAAGACAGATTAATTTTTGTGTTTTCCGAGGCGTTTGGTTTGGTTTGAAAAAACTTTATTCTGCAGAGTCGTGGTACTTTTTTCATGTGTATTACTTTTCTAGTAATCCACAGCATTTTACGCTTTGGTTTCTTTAGCTTACATGGTATAATGGTTCATTCAAAAGGCGCCATTCCAGATTTTAGTTTTTTTTATAGATCTACAATACCCGATGACGTGTTAAACAAATCACCGTGTATGATTCAGGGAAGTCTATAACACTTTTGCCGTTTGCTCCCTAATAACCATCAACTGATATGCGCGTCATTGCATGCGATACACGGTCACCCTCGTCATGATTTGGCAACATAATGAACTTGTGGTCGGAGGTTTCCTCTTTATTACCGATTTGTGGCGCTACTGAGCCAGACACAAATGTAAGATCAAGAACAGAACATGCTGACCCATGAATGGGAGCTGTTTTCATCACCAGCTGTGTCAACAAGTAACTAACATAATTTAAAAAAGGTATACCTCAACCTTTATTAGCAGTATTTCCGACGGAAAAAGTTTCTAGTTTATTTTCAGCATATTGAAATCCCCAGTCAGTATCAGTTTCAGTCGCTCGCCCACATACAAGAAAGTTCTGTTGCTTTACAAGATATTCATGAGGGGCGCCTGGACACCGGTATACACCACTAGTCAACACACGAACGTTAATAATAGAAAACTAACACCACACAGTTTTGTGGCCAGCAATGCCGCTGTCTTAAAAAAAACAAGCTGCCTTTAATTGCGACGGCCACACCCCCGACACGGCGATCCCGATATATACGAAGCAGCGCTTAGGCTGGTGGCACTATCTCTAATTATGAATATCAGATTTTAGCCACGTCTCCTTAATGACCACCATATTGTCACATTGTAGCGAGAACAAAAGACAGAAACAACCTGCGACAGCGAAACCGCGTGTTTCCGAATCAACTATACAGCGAAGGCCTTCTTCGTCATCCTTGTTCCAACATGCTGTCCCCTACCCGGTGTCTGCGAAACACCTTCATCGCCGTTCTCTTCTACGTGTATACACGTGCCACTTGCCCCTTCTTATAGTAGCATCAACCCGATGCTACATCCGAACGACCGTTATGGGAAAACAAAGTCAATCCCTGACGTATGGCTGCATGCGTACCAAATGTACTAGCTCAGACCGTTGCGGTTTATGCCTGGTGTAAGAGGGACTGTCGAGGACGACCTCGTAGGTGACGTCAATTACCTTTTCAATACTCTGTACGGTCCGAAGTATTGCCTTAAGAGTTTCTCGGACAGTCCGCGTCTTCGTATGGGTGTCCAAACCCACAGTCGGTCACCAGCGTCGTAGGTTACTGCTCTCCGCCGGGCATTGTAGCTACCTGCGTCGTAATTTACTGGCGAATTCTCAAGCGTGCGAGCTGTCTGGCTTCTTCCGCGCGTTTGGTATATATGTAGCGCTCGTGTCCTTGTCCTTTTGATGTGGTAACATGGCATCTAGCATTGCCCGTACCTCCCGTCCGTGAACAAGGCTTAATGGAGTCATGCGAGTCGTTTCTTGCTTCGCTGTATTGCACGTGAACGTAATATAGTGCAAGATCTCGCCCCAATTTGTATGTCGAACGTCCACGTACATCAACAGCATATCTTCAATTGTCTTGTTCAGGTGCGCTGTCAGTCCGTTTGTATGCGGGTGGTAGGCA